TAATGACAAATGTAATTCAATCTCAGAAAAGGTGTAAATGAGACTTTGGCTAGCCAACTTATGTAACTACTTGTATATATAATACCATTAAGAGCAACTACAAATTATCGGAAAAAGAAAAAATGTCGTGAATAACCTACTGAACAGCGGATGGACAGCGATAGAGACGAGTTGGTTGCGGAGCTCCTTGCTTCGCCTAACTGATTCAGAACTGGCCTTCGGCTTAGTCCTACAATACTTTCTGAAAGCATTTTCGCAAACCTCCGAAAGAGCCTCCTGGTGAGAGAAATAGAGGAGAATAATAAGAAAAAACGAATGGGGTAAATTGAGCGAAAGAAAATCTAGTCAACATAACAGACGACTAAAAATAGCTAGAAAGAGATATAAAATAAATAAATTTTTAAACAAAATTTGAGTGTGCTGAATTATAGTTCGGTAAATAGTGAAGAGCGCGCCTTTGGAAAAACACCATAATAAATGATAGACTACCCAAAGGATCGAGTTACCAGATACTTAACGGGCCCCAGACTTTCCTATCGCAACGCCGTTGCTACCCTCGCCCCACTTAACATAAAAACTATACATAAAAGCCGAAATATAGACCATTACTATAGTAAAAAATAATGTAGCTGGTAAAATAACGAGAAGCAAGTTTAAGTCTATTATCATTCTTAGCAAAGGACTCAATGCTTCTCCCAGGGATGAGTGATTCGAAAAAAGGGAAGGTCAGGACAAGGCTCTCTACCCAGTCCAAAATACTCTACGCGCATAACGTTATTCCTTATTAAATTTCTACTATCCTCAAGTAAGCCATAACCGTTATTATTAAATAACCGTCCAATTCTATCAGACTCCCTATTCAAATGGTTCCTCTTTGCTAGCTTCAAAATTCAAACTTGCCATGTAAATATGGCTGTATAGAAAAGTTAGAATACAGGCATATATAATAGTCTCATATAAACACCTCTACCCGACCTAGCACCTACATTAATTGCCCAAACACCTAAAATGGTGAACAAGTATTACTCTCTAATTCAACTATACGCTTAATAGTATCGTCTAACCAATTAATTTTTTGAAAATAAATTATCTGAACTATCCAAAGTAATCAAGCATTATCTAACTAACAATTCAAGAGTTAATAAACTCGACAGTTCTTAGATGATGCTGTGCAATAATTCGCCAATATGGCAAATATACAAGATCCAATTAAAAATATTCGCGTCAATGGTGAAAAAGTACTACTCATAAATAAGCTAGCTTGTCTTAAATTTAAGGCCCAACGTAGATCTACTACTTCAATACTCTCAGGGTGTCAGTCTAGAATGATTGCTAGAGTTTTAATTCGGATTTTAGTGTATATTGATGCCGCATCAAAACTTAATGGCCTATCAATTTTACAGGATGTTAAAAATATGCTAAATATTGAGTGTTTGCACAAAAATCGTAAAATTCTATGCGTCAAACTACCCCTGTTATTAACAAGTAATCTTAAAGGTATTCCCTCCTTATATACTGTTAGAAGGCTTTAGGGGGTATATAATTTCAGTGGGATCCTTTATGCCTTATTGATAGACTTAGGGATAAAGAGGATCGGGCCACCTTCAAAGGAAGGCGATTC